TTATCAGAGAGTTCCAATGCTGCTTCTTCCTCAGGGATGTGTTCTGGGTCTGTATCCTGCTCCCTTGTTTCTACCACTTTATCCTGCTTCTTTGTGTGGGTTGTGACAGTCTGTTGTCTACGAGGCATCATGGTGTTGTTATATTTATGTCTGTGTTAACTGTTCGTGAAAAGCAGCCAAGGGTTATTCAGGCTCTTCTTGGTGGTTTTTCATCATTGGCCCATTGGTGGAGAAGGAAGTAGTGGCTCTCACTCAGTAAGTGAAGTTGCAGGAGGTGTGGGTGTAGTTTTGGCTTATGGACACTATTGCTGCCTCCCAGTCAGACAAAAATTACAATTGAATAACCATCAAAAAACTAAAAGCACGTGGACAAAAAACACACCATGTAATCACACAGAAACAGTAACCAAAAAAAGAAAAAAGGGAAAAAGAAGAAGGAAAAACAAGAAAACCTGCAATATCTGGGGACAGGGCACTAAGGGAAAAAAGGTAGAGAAGGAGAATAATGTAGGAAAGAAAATGGGAAAAATTCAAAAAGAAAAATCAGGAATGTAGTAACCATGAGAAAAAAGGGGGAAAAAAAAAACTTGAATTTTTTTAAAAAAATTTCAACCAGGAATAAGGAAAAAAAAAATGTTGAAAACTTGGACCTGGGAGGGTCCGAATAGGAATAACAGTAAAAAAGGACGAAAGTATTAATAATAACAGTTGCTTTAAAACAGACCAATACAAGCAAACTAATCACCAGATAAAAGAAAGCAAAAAAGAAAAAAATAAAAATAAAAAAAGAGAAAAAAAAAATCAGTAGAGGACAGGGCAGGGCACCCAGGCTCCGTCTGAACACATAGACTGTGATGTAATTCCTGTGGGCCCAGAAGGTAGGTGGGAGTGGGGGATGGTCGCACCTCCATTCACCAAGTGGGTTTGGGGTATAAGAGTAGTAAGAGGAATGTTGTACCTTTTCAGTCTTGCAGGTCCGGAGTGTCCTTGGGTTTGCTGGAAAGCAGAACGTGTTCTTAAGCCCCAGGAATCTGCGAGAGAGCTGTCTCTTTAAATATCCAAAATAGTCAAGCCGCTTTTAAACTTTCAAAATGGCAGCATCCTCCAGACTGGCAAAAGTCCACAACTCAGCCCGCCTTTCTCTTCACCTTCTCCATTTATACCCCAGCCACCAGAGCAGTCCTCTGTGCAGTCCCTGGCTAGCAGGGCTGATTTTTAGGTTAATTCTTAGGTCCTACCACCACTCAGGAATCTCCAAGCTGTCTGTGCCGTCAGGATCGCTCAGGATCGCTGCCAGCCCTCAGCTTTGTATATCTCCTTTTTTGGTATTTTCACACAAATTTTTGTGATAGTTGTGGTTTAGTCCACTTCTATATCCTTCCCTTCAAGGCTCAGGGGTCCAGGATTATCTTCAGTGTCTGTATTAAGTGGTTTCCCTTTTCCTTGTTGAAGAGGGTCTGTGCAGTCTCTCTGCCTAGTCCGCCATCTTACCGGAATTCCTTATTTTGTTTTTTTAACTAATAAAAAAAACTGAAATATCAAAGTCTCTGTTACAGGTAAATACTACTACAAAATGACACTGGTGTCTTTTTTTTCCCCCTCCTTTTCCTTGCCCTCTTCATCTCAGGACCAAATATGGATGTAAGTTAAGAATTATAGCAGACATGACCATGCATACGGTTGGCAGACAATGCTTCTACAAGGATATTTTTATGTTCTGTAAAAATTTCTAGGTATATAGTAGAGTTGACAAGGGACAAGGTTGTGGTCACTTCTTGGCTACAGCCAGTTACCCAGAAGAAGTGAACAGTTAGACCTGTGGGCTCGGCATCATAGTCACAAGGGACATCAAGCTCAATTGGCATAACACACTACACAAAATCACTGTTCCACATCCTACTTTGGTGAGTAGCGACTGGGATCTTAAAAGCTTGCAAGCAGCTATCTAGATGCAACAATGGGTCTCTCTTTATCCAGAACAAAGAAGAATGAAGAAAACCAAAGAAGCATGGAAATAATTAGTCCAAGAGACTGGTACACTATGTGATCCTCAGCCTGTATGACTATGAGACCAGAAGAACTAGATGGTGCCTGGCTACCACTGCCAACCACTCAGAGGGGGGTCCATGTAGGAATACTGGATAGAGTGGGAGAACAACGTGGAACAAAACTCAAAATCATTAAAAAAAAAAAAGGGGGGGGTTTTCAGGTTTGCTGTTCTGATAGAGCCCAGTGGAGCCCCGAGACTGTGGCCCCTAGCTGCCCTTTACACTCCTGTGGCTTCCAGCCAAACAAAAGACAGGCATATGAGCTGAACATCTACCTAATGTTACATTAGGTAGATACACTACTTGGAGAGATCAATCATGGGAGAACAGAAGGGCTGTGTATGCGCAGGGAGACAGCTCCAGGGGCAGGAGTGCATGGGAGGGAAGGACACAGGGAAGAGGTGGCTCTGGGGAGGAAATGGGAAGAGAGCTGTTGCATTGTGGGACATTATAGTCAATGTCATGAGACAAAGGGTATGTGAACTGCTGTATGGAAGACGAATTTGCTTTGTAAACTTTCACCCAAATCACAGTAAAACTTAAAAAAAAAAAAAAGAATTAGCACAGAATCTTAAAAACTCAAAATTAAAGGCTCGAAGTGAAACAAAAATAATACTTTAAAAGATTTTTTTTTTTTAATTTAATTTTCTATGTAGTAAATACGACACAACTACCAATATATAGACCAGGCTTCAGGTTAGCAAGCACTACTCCACCAGAGCTCCTAAAACAGACCAAAGTCTATAAAATTTCATTGCCCTTAAGCCAGGGTAAAAATGATTTACTGTGGTTGTTTCTTTATAAATCGAACCAAATGAGAACCATTCGCAAAGTGCTCCAGAAAGAAAGACATGCCAAAGTTTCTCTGCCTTACCTGATTTCTACAATAACAAGTTAGTCACATTACCCAAGTTTTTACTTCACAGGACTGAAATGAACCTCATGCTGCAAATACACTCCCCATGTTCGCAGTCTGCTTTCCAAACTGTCAGATTCAAACGACATTAAAGAGTTTGGACTTTCTTTCAAGATATTAACTGTACTCTAACACTCTCTACTCTAATTTAGAGTGACATGTTATATTGCCCAACCCAAGGTACTTTTAAGAATGAAAGGCTGCTACTTACAACTGTGCTGGGATAAATTATGCCAGAATGAATGGTCACTTTAATTCCTTAAAAAAATTTTTTTTTCTCCAACTAGAATTCTGCATTCCACAAACTCTTGCCAAATACTCTTTTCAAACCTTCAATTTTTCATTTATACTTCTTTTGGGTAGGCAGGAAAGGAACCTCATTTCACCAGTATGAAGTTGTCTGTGGCTCATTACTGAGCTGTTGTGAAGAAACAGGCTCATACATACCCAGGTTTTCTCCTCCCCACACATCCATCATCATATCGTATTTCCCCAGTTCTTCAAAGTAGAACTTATCCATCACGAACAACCCTCCGGCAATCATGGGCGTTCTAAGGAGGCAGAAAAAGGGTGGGAGGCAAGAAAGGAAGAGGTTGAAGGCCAAAATTAGGTCTCAAGTCAAATACTTGGTGCCTGAACTACAAGTTAACCTTAAAATTAACCTCAAAGCCTTTGCTCAGAGTTCAAGATGCCCATCCTTTTGCAGGACCACTGTTGTTGTTGTTGTTATTTGCCGTCGAGTCGGCCCCAACTCATAGCGACCCCTCCTTGAGTTTCCGAGGCAGTATCACTACGTTAGTAGGATTGCCCAACCTTCCTTCCGAGGAGTGGCTGGTGGGTTTGAAACACCAGCCTTCTGGTTAGCAGTCAAATGCCTTAGGCACTGTGCTACCAGGGCTCCCTTGCAGGACCACTGCTATTCTCAAATGCCTGCTTCCACTTTGCTGGCACCAACATTCCCACTTAAGCACTGTGCTGAACTGAAGCTCTCCCACCAATGCAGGGAAGTTCAGTGGATTTGAGTGTGATCTGCAGCTGAGCTATTTGGGTTTGAAATACTCAGCAACTTAACCTTTCTGGGCCGTAGCTTCCCACTGAGGTAATTATAAGGATTATAAGAAATAATATGCATAAAACATTTAGTACACTTAGGAACCACTCAATAAGTATCACTGTCTCATATGGATCATTGTTCACATATGTAAATGGGACCCATCCCATTTGCCACTGCCTTATCACCTGGAGAAGGGGCTTAACGACTTAGTGTTTACTACTGTCTGAGTAGTGATGCTGTCACAATTAAATATAAAGTGCTAGAAGAGTGTATAGCACTTTGTGAATGTTGAGTAACTATGAGCTAACATATTTCAGAGCTAGGTACTTTGCAGAAGTTATCCACTTTACCTGTGTATGACAATTTACCCTAACTAGATAGCTCTCTCACATTCTTCCCCTGGCTAGAGAAAGCATCCTGACCACCAACCACAAGTGTCCCTGCTGCACAGATCTTCAGACAAGTCTAATGCACCAAGCACCAGTGGCCTGTTCTGTGGGCAAAAAGGAGAGCAGGGTCTGAAGGATAAGCCAGGTTGGAGCTCCTGTGGCCCAGTCCTCTTTACAGTGTCATGGAAACCAACCAGAGACCCCACTTTGCTACTGAAAACTCCACCTTTTACATGAGAGAACATAAAAAACTGGCAATCTGCTTTGTAAATATGTAATAGACTTCATCTGAGAAAAGTCTCCAAGTGCTTTGTTCTATGGCCTAGTGGAAGGATCTTTCCCTGAGTTAGGACACACGGAGTTGGAGAGGCAAATGGACAGAGCTCAATTGTGTCCAGGGAACAAAAGGACCTGGGTTCTTGCCTGAGAGCACCTAAAGGAGCGATACTTACTTTATGGGGGCCACTGGGTTCCCTTGGCGGGCTCTCCTCTGCTCTGGTGTCATGTAATCCCATTTGAACACCAAATTCCAGTCAAAACCTGCCGTGACAGAAAAGAAACTCTGTAGTGATAAGAGAGTTTGGCCATGTACGTTTCCATACCCTGTCCCATACAGTTTATTAACACTTGATATTTGCATAGAAGTCACTGGGGGGAAAAAAAAGAAAAGAAAAAAAAGCAAAAGGGAAAGAAGACCTAGAGAGGTGAGAATGAAACCAGGGCACGGGGCCAGATCAGGGTGATCAGAAGATGGAGAGCATTACTAAATCTTCTTTCCCTAATAAGCTTGCCCAGATCAGATGCTGTGGGTCAGAGTTCTCTAAACTTACAATGCACAGGAATAAAAGTATAAAATACAAACAGAACCGGGATTTGTGTGGTGACAGTAACACATCCAAGGCCAAAAGGAGCTAGAAAAAGGGGTGACCAAGAGGTAAATCTGCCTCTACATCTCCAGTGTTACCCTAGGGAAAGGAACCATTAAGAAGGGCACAAAAAGAGTAGTACTGGTTCCTTGACCCTACAAACCTCCATCTCTTAATTGGAGGGTGGGAGTGTAAAAGCTCTTAGATGAAAATCAGCCAACAGAAGCTGCAAAAGTGGGCACAATCACCTTCTATCTCTGGTCAATTTGGCATCTGTCCCATATTCCACTTTAGAATCCAGACCACTCTGGACAGAAGAGCATATGCCTCGTACTCGGACTTGGTTCTTGGCATGTGCATGACCCTGGCATCAAGCCTCCTAGGTACACAGCTGTCCAGGCTTTGCCCTTATTCATGAGGGACCTATGTGGTGCACTCCAGATGTGCCAGCAAACCAGTTGTGGCAAATTCTGCAGTTCCTGGTACTGCCTTTCCAGGCGTGTAATGGCCAAGCGTAATCATTGCAATCTTATCTATTTTTCGATTCTGTGCCTCCTGAATTCTTTGCCTCAGGTTTTGTCAAAAAAGCTTTTGCAACGCCTGTATGTGGAGTCTGCATCTGCAAGTTCTGAATCCAGGCTTCCATCTGTGGGCAGCCCTGGTACACACAGCCTGAGCAGGGCAGGAAGAGAGAGCTGGGGCTAATCAACATGACAGTACCTTTACTGTTTTGAACAAAAAAACAAAAACCAAACTTGCTGCTGTCGAATCAGATCTGACTCATAGCAACCCCTCCTTGGGGTTTCTGAGGCAATATCACTACAGAAGTAGATTGCCCAATCTTTCTTCTGAGTTATTATTATTATTGAAGTGTTATTATTTTATTTATTTTATGAATTTGGTCCAAAGAGACTAGCTACATTCAATGAAAAATGTGCTAAAAATATCATTCTTGTTTTTGTTGAAAGGGTTTTCACAAAATGCTCTTGGAGTGACTTTGGCCTTGATCCTCTGATCCAGCAGAAGGCCTGGGTACCCAAAAGAGCACTTCACATCCTCACTTCTACACAGGCACAAATAGCTGCTCTGCTAGAAAAGCCCACTGAATCTCAGCTCTTACAGATACTGGGGAGGACTTCTAGATGTTCTAGGCACAAAACCTTTCATGATAGGTAAGGACCTGTCCTCTGCAAAGCCCAAAATATCTTTACTTCTCATCATTTATTATAATCTTCCCAGAATGTTACAATTTCCCAGTGTCAGTCCCCTGAGCATGATCCTCATCTTGCTCAGGTCTCTGGTCACCATCACGGCACACATCAGCACAGCACTGACTTCATGTCAGGCACTGCTCTCAGCACCTTCCAGGTCATGAAACTTTCACCTCATAACCACCCACTGAGGCAGGCACTACTTGACCTCATTTCTCTGATAGGGATGCTTAGGAGCAAAGAGATGAAACAACCAGCCCCCAGGTGACTTGGCTTGACAGAAGTGGCTCTGGCATCTGAGGGAAGGGCTGGGCTAGCCCACTGTGTTAAGGACCATAGGACTGTAGCTCACTGACCATCCCTAGTATTCTCTCTTTTAAGGTTTCTGCTTAATTTGATAATTTTGCAATCTTCTCTTCTGATGTTAGACTGTTAGTTGACCCTCTGTCTGTATGTCTGTCTAGAAGAGTCCATCCGTAATCAGCTTAAAATGTTAAAGAGTACCACCTGTTTTATATAAAGACACAGGGATGCTGAGTAATCAGGAGACTTTATTACCTTGGGTGCATGGAGGTCCCTTCACTAGTCTTTAGTGAGTGAATCACACACACACATATGGAACAACTGTGACAGCTTTCAGTTGCTTAGAGTGGTCTTTGCTCACTTCTAAGACCTTAGCTGCATTTTTACAGGTGAGGCTGCCAAGCCCCTGAATGCCAGAGTGTGAAGCATTTATTACTGGAACCTAGTGATAGCTAATCAGAACCAGGCAGAGTACGACAAGCTCCTCACAGTAAAGGGCAGCCTGATGCCTGGGCTTTAGCCAGCACTATGAAGCACCAATATGAGACCAGTAATTCTAAGTGGCTAGGACCTTTCAGGGTTCCATTAACTCAAAACCACATTTATATCTGTGCTAAGATGTTACATGCCTCTTTCAGAAGCACACAGAGGGCTTTTCCAGAGGTGTCTCTGACATGTGATGCTGTCATTCTGGTAAATAATGAAATGTATTATTTTCATGTTCAATGTGTCAGAGATTTCTTGATGTACATTTCTAATATAGTACATGTTGACGGATATAACTAAACAAAAGTTCTCTGAGGGCTTCAGTATTTTTTCAAGGGAAAGCATGCATCAGACAAATCACTCTGTGCTCAGTGGAGGGTAGATGTGAGAGGGCCAAATGTGTGGTCATTTAGATAAAAGATGGCCAGGATATAAGGCAGTGGTGGGGACCAGGAGGAGGGGTCAATAGCCAAGTCACACCTAAGGAGTGAAAATCAGCAGGACTCAGTGATTGACTGAGCTTATGCAGAGAGAAGGGGTTAGGGGTTGACTTCAGGGATCAAACTGGGTGACCAGGTAGATGGCCATGCCACCAAGAGACACAGAATATCAAAGAAGAGATAGTATGAGGACCAGAGGCAAGTACTGGCTTTAGCCTTTCAACTCAACAAATCCTCCACTCCACAAGCTCCTCCACACACTGGGCTATTCAGTGCTAGAGTCTCCTCAGCCCAGATTACAACAGCGGACAATCATCTCTGATAAAAATGACACCATGCTGTTTACTGAGCTAAGGGTTTCACAACAGAAGGTCAAAGAGAAAAGAGAAGAATAAGAAACATACGAAGTTCTTTTAGAGAAGCTGCTTTTCTCCCTCTCTATGAAATGCTCCTTGTCAAGAACAATGCTCTTTACTCATCTGTACACACTGTCATGTGAGAGCTGGGATACACACATGGACAATGAGAACACAGCAGGACAACCCTCACCCCATACTGACACCTACCACCTTTCAAGTCAGCGGACGCCCCCACATACTGAAAGTTGTCCATATTAATGACATCAATTATGGGTGACACAACCCGGGTTCTATCCTAAAAAATGGAGAGAAAGAAGAACAGTCATCACACAATTAAACCCATCCAAAAAGAAGGAATTCATACTAGATGGTAACAGTAGAGGACCAACTGCCCCCTCACTATCTGCTAGCCCAGGCCATTAGAGGGCCCCAATCCTCCCATCACAGCAACTTTGCTCCTCACCCTCTTAGAGATATATTCCATTCTGGATGAGAGAGATCAAGAGCACGACTGCCATGGAGTAAATCACTTGCTAAAAGATGACCATGTGCCCTGGATGGCTCAGGTCCCTCACTGAAAGCAAAGACATACTCACATTTCCCAGTCCCCTGTGTTTTCCTTACATATAACATTTGCAACCATAGGGGTAGCTTGCATTGAGATACAATCTAAGTTCAACTTTACTGAAACATCAGTCATTTGTTAGCTGCAGTCAACTTCAGGAATGGATACAGCAAGTATGAACTCATTGCTAAGACACCTACACAACAAAAAGTAGGAATAGATTTCCATGGTGTGTGTGTGTGTGTGCTATGTGCAGAGTATTAGTATAATTATAGTAGAAGGTAAACTGAATAAGTTGGAGACTTCTATGTTCTTAGTCTGCTTAGAAATTATTTTGTCCTAGAATGGGCCATTTCTTTATGGCACATTTTCATCATGCTGTTAAGAGGGTGTGAGCACAGGCCTTTTAACTTTTCTAACCCCTTTCAATTTGAATGATTGAGTGGTGAGAGACACAGTGAAACTCTGCCTCATGATGACTTTCAACAAAGAAGTAAGTGCTTTCCTTGCGCCATTTAAAGAATGCTTATTAGCCAGAAGAAAGGCATAAAAAAAAAATAAATTAGTACAAGAATCAAGCAGAGGTAGGGGAATAAATCAGAGGAACAAACCAACAGAATATCATTAAGTTCTAACATCACCTAGGTGCAAATTTTCAAGGAAAAGTAAACTATGTGGTGCACTGAAAGAAAAGTAATAGCATCATAGGGAAGGAAATATGGCACTTAAAGAGAAATGGTTGGTGGTTTAAAAGTCTTTCATTTGAGTATCTATCATGCCAGACATTGTGTTAAGCTTTAAGGATACCAGAATCAATCACAGAGATTTCAAAAGAGCTCACAATCTGGCAGGGAGGCAGATTAATCAGTGCCAATCTCTACAGCTCTAATCTCTATGGGGAGCTCTGGTGGTGCAGTGGTTAAAACTTTAAAAGGTCAATCGTTCGAACCCACAAGCTGCTCCATGGGAAAAAGATGAGGCATCTGCTTCTGGTAAGATTTACAGCCTTGGAAACCCTATCAGTTGGAATTGACTTGATAGCAGTGGTTTTGTTTTAATATCTATAGCAAGAGTGCTATGTTGCCATGCTCAAGACACTATATATGTCATGTATATGAAAGGGAAAGTATACTCTCACCTGATAGCTAAAAGAGCAGCACTAAGACTAAATTTGGGGCACCTGAAATGGGCTGCATCAGGGACCTTAAATGGGACACTACTGGCTGGGCCAGCCTCAAGGTATAGTCATTCATTCAATTGACAAATATTTATTCAGCTTTCATTCCTTGCAAGGCACCATGCTTGGTGATGGGGACTCACTCAGTGAGTTTACTGTCAGTGGTGGGACTATCTAGAGAAAGAGATGTGTTTGCTTGCATAGCTCACTTTGTCTCAACACATCCCTAATAGGCTCTATAAAGAAATGAGAACCAATCTAGCATGCACAGTTATTGGGAAGAAGCCTAGAACACTAGCTAACTCTCAAACTCTGATATCCTTTGTATCTATGGGGCAAGAACAGATCCAGCAAGGTTAGCAACAAAGGGGAACAAAATTCTTCTTGCCTAGCAAAGTCTGGACCTAGGCATGGGAAACAAAGACTATACTCTACTTTACTTCTAAGTCCACTTAATTTATTTTTGTTTCTTTGGATAAGACTAGAATTGGTAGAAAATTAATATTTAAATAGTTCTGAGAGTCAATTGCAGAAGAAGCCTTTCCAGACTTTACTATCATTCTCATAACTTTTGTGTTGGCTATGCTCTACTGGGAGTCAGGCTAGTAGGAAGAGTAGTCAATCACCTAGGGTGGTGGTAGGCACTGCAGAATGGATTCTTCTTTTATGCAGGTGTGTGCATATTTATAAGGGAAACCAAAACCAAACCAAATCCACTACCCCTGAGTCAATTCTGACTCAAAACAACCCTATAAGACAGAATAGTTCTGCACCATAGGCTTTCCAAGGCTGTAAATCTTTATAGAAGCAGATTGCCTCATTTTTTTTCCCATGAAGGGGCTAGTAGGTTTGAACAGCTGACCTTTTGGTTAACAGCCAAATGTTTTAACCACTGTGTCACCAGCGCTCCTTGTGTTAGGGAAGGGAGAGGTTAATTTAGTCAAACTAGTTTGCCACCCTAGCTCTGCCATCTGTGTGAATTTGGATAAGTTGTTAAAGTTCTCTGAACCTCAGTTTCTTTATCTGTCAAGTAGGAAAAATATCTGGATTAAAATAAAGCATATAAAGCACTCATCATATAGTTAGTACTCAATATAATGTACTTATCAAAATATAATATATTCATCTGAAGTACTAGTAACTTGTAGTTATTTAGTCATCCATGACTCACTGCTCCTTAACTGCCTCTTGCTTTGCTACAACTTATTCATTCTGCATTTCTGTAGCACTTTCATTAATTCTGTACTCCTTATCTGAAGTAAGTGCTTTCTTAGTAGAAAGAAAAGAAAGTAAGTAGAAGGCAAGAGAAATGACTAAGGCTAAATGTAGTATTAATGATATTGTTTCTAGAAAATAGAAGGTACTCAAAATATAGGAATGGATCAAGCCCAGACATCCTTTAACCACTCACCCCATGGTCACCATTACCCTCCTCTACCAAGCTCTCTTCTGAATAGGACCAGCAGCTGGGTGTGGCTGTTCTCTAGGCAAGGGCAGCACCACTGGAGGTGATGAAACTGCCACCCTCCCTGAGAACAGAGAGAACAGCCAAATGGAGGCTTCCTCAGCAACCCCCCTCAGGTAGGCACAGCAAACACTCACACTGCACTTACTGGGAGCCAGGCATTTTCTAGTTTAGGAGTTCTGGTAGCATAATGCCTAAGGCATTTGACTGCTAACCAGAAGGCTGGTGGTTCAAATCCATGAAACTCTCCTTGGAAGGAAGATTGGGCAATCCACTTCCATAGTGATACTGCCTCGGAAACCCAAGGAGTGGTCGCTATGAGTCAGAAGGCCTTTTCTAAGCCCTTTGCTGCTTTTAAGCTCTGAGAGTTGACTGCAAAGCTGCAGACACTAAGAGGATCCACTTAAGAGAATAGCTGCCTTAACCTACTGAAGGTTTCACCAGCCTCTGCTGGTCCTTGCCTCCTACTTGTGATTTTTTTTCCCCTATTCATAGAGTCCCACAGTGAATAAAACACTCTTTGAACGAATGATCCAGAGGTTTTGTTTCCAACATCAAGGAAAGGCACAGAGGAGCCCCCACTCTCTTCCTAGGCCCCTGCCTCACCTCGGCCACCCTCTCGAGGAGGGGCTCCAGCCAGCGCTCATTGCACTCACAGTGACTGTCCAGGAATGTCAGGACCTTGGCCTGGGCAGCATCAGCCCCACGGACCCGTGAGCGCATCAAGCCTGTGGAAGAGAATTCAAAAGCCCATCAGGAAAGAACACCTGAGAAAAGGAAAGCAGAACAGCGAGTCCAGTCTCTGCACCTGCACCATCCCCTCCCAGCTGTCAGCCCTCTGCTGGGCAAAGTCTGCACCAAACTTGCCTGGTGGGATCACTACCACCCAGTGGTTACCAATCGTCCTCTGTCAGGACAGTTTTTGTTTTTTAAAGGCAATTGGATGATTGGGAGGAAAACTTTCTAAGAACCACTGTCTTCTAAGAAAGGCTTTTACATAACTGAAGTCTCCTTTATCAAGCAACCATAATGAAGAACTTTTAAAATCACTTTCCTTGGAAACATCAACAGGGTTTTCTAAGTAATGTAGCTAAGGAAGGTGTTATCCAGATACCTGAAATGCTAATGGTCCTGACTTCAGTGGTAATTTAATGGTAATAGTGTTGCAAATATCTTTGTCTTCTAAGACTTATCACAAATAATATAAATGGCAAAGCCCAACTGTCTGGCTTTTATACAAAATCAGTTACACTATCTGTGAAATTACAAAGCCTGTACACTAGTGATCTGTTAATGGTACATATTTTTATTATCAAACAAAGTCTTATTCTAAATAGTATGTTTATCCCTAGATATGTTCATAAATGGTTTTTGCTATGTATGGTGGGTTTTATATACAAAAATGATGCTACTATTCACAATCAGTGAGGAAAAGTATTTATGTTTTTTTCCACACATTCAAAAGTTTGGAATTTGAATCATTTCAAGTTAGAGGACAAACTTACCAGCCACTCCTCAGAAGGAAGACTGAGCAATCCACTTCTGTAGAGATACTGCCTTGGAAACCCAAGGAGAGGTGACTCGATGGCAATGAATTTGGTTTTTAGTTAAGTTTGAGGGAGGAGGCCTGTTGGCATAATGGTTGAGTGCTCTACTACCAACTGAAAGGCTGGTAGTACAAATCCTCTAGCCACTCCACAAGAGAAAGATGTAATAGTCTACTTCCACAAAGATTACAGTCTTGGAAACCTTATAGGGCAGTTCTACTCTGTCCTGTAGGGTCATTATGAACTGGAATCAACTTGACAGCAATATATTTGGTTTGGTTTAAGTTAGAGGGGCTTATATACCCCTTAGTTCTTCCACAGAAACCCCAGAAGGACCATATTTAGGAATACAAACTATGTTTCAGGACTAAGGCATTCACTCAGAATTAATGGCAAATCCAAACATACACACCTTAGCAAAGTACAAAGATAAACCTATACAAGTTCAAAGTGATCAGCTAGTAATTTAACTGTTCAGTAGAACTAAACATGAGAAGAAAGAAGAAAATATGATTCACACCCAAGAGGAAGAAAAAGTCAATAGAAACTCATCCTGACATGACCTAAATGTTGGAATTAGTAGATGAGGATTTCAAAGCAACTGGTATGAGGAGCTCTGGTAACATAGTTGTTAAAGCATTTGGCTGCTAACCAAAGGCCAGAAGTTCAAACCCACCAGCCACTCCATGGGAAAAAAGATGAAGCAATCTGCTTCTGTAAAGATTTACAGCCACGGAAACCCAACAGGGTAGTTTTACTCTGTCCTGTGGGGTCACTGTGTTGGATTGGGTTCTGTAGAGAAACACAAAAACCAGCAAAGTATATAAATATATATTTATAGAGAGAGAAAGAGAGAGAGAGAAATTTATCTTAGATAAATGGCTCACAAGCGTGTAGAAGCCGACAAGTTCAAGCTGAAAAGTTCGTCTCTGGAGGGGGATGGGGCCCAGGGCCGTCTGGCTTTCACA